TTGTGCTGATGTTTGTATAGTTGCCCACAATCTTACCATTTCTGGCACTCCTCGTTCTTTCATGTGTCTCTGGGTTTCCATCTGGTATCGTTTTCTTTCCACCTGAGAAGCTTCCTTTAACATTTCTTTATTGATTTATTCCCAAGTGTAAAGCAGTCTGTTCTCTCTTGAAGTCTACTTGACTTCCTCTCCATTCAGATGCCTGTATCTGCACTCTGCCCTCCGTTTGCTCTTTCAATGCGGACGGACGGACGGGTCTCTCTGGGCCCCTGTTCTCAGGCTAGTAAGCTTGCTTTCTTTTGTTTACTTTGCTGGATTGACTTTGAGTGGTGTTGTCTTATGTGTTGATCACAAGTGGATGTCTAGTGTTGATCCTTTGTCCAAATAACTCCCCCTTAGTGTTTTATTTGTTTTCACTTTTAAGTGATAAAAACTTACTGAGAGTTCCTGGGATGGTGGTTCTTTCGCCCAGCCTCCAGGGAGGCACTGAGAAACCACAAAGGGTTCCAACGCCCCTGGGCAAAATGTGGGAGAGGATGCCCAGTCTTTCATTAATACATAAAGGGTTGGGAGGGGAGATGCAGAGGGGACCTCCTTGATACTGGGTGGGCTACAGGTGTCCTGGACCCCTAGCCGCCTCCTGGAAAATCAGAAAGGTGAATCTCTTGGTCACTAGGCTCATTTTTTAGCTTCGATGAGGCCGTTACTTCCTGGGGTTCCCCTGAGTAATTTTTTTTTTCTCTTAAGATTGGTCTTGTGTTGACAGATTCTTTTCATTTATACTTGTCTGGAAATGCCCTTATTTCTCCCTCATATTCTGCTGGGCAGTTTTGCTGGATATAAGATTATTGGCTGGCAATTTTTTTTCCCCTTTCAAAGTTATATATGTCATTCCACGGTTTTGATTTCTGTTGAAAAATCCAGGCTCAGTCTTATTGGTTCCCTTTATATATGACTTTTTGTTTTCCCTAAGCTACTCTCAATTTGTTCCCCATTGTGTTTGATTTGGAAAGTTTGATCATGATGTGTTGTGACGATTTTCTTTTGAGGTCTGTCCTGTTTGGGGTTCTCCGGTTCTTGAATGGTGATTTACTCCTTTTCCATGATGTTAAGGAAGCGTGTTTTTCCCAGGGGATCTTGGGCTTTTTTCTGTGTGCTTTTATTTGTTTCATCCTGTACTGGAATTCCTATCATGTATTTGTTGTTTCTCTTGATAGTGTCCCACATAATTTGGGGGCTTTCTTTGTCTTAAAAAATTTTTCGTGATCATTCTTCTTGTCGTTTAATATTGAGAGGCTTGTCTTCAAGTCACACACACGGCCTTCTGTTGCATCAGTTTGACTGCTTTGTTCTTTCCATATCTTTTTTTCTTTTAGCATTTCTATGAAGGTTTTATATTTAATTCTAACAATAATAGTTATAGTGAGCCTTTCACTCTCTTGGCAATTTTTAAAAATTTTTATTAAAAAATCATTTTACTGGGGGCTCTTACAACTCTTATAACAATCTATACAAAATTGTATCAAGCATATTTGTACATACTGTTTATCATCTGGATTTCTATGTGCTGTTTTTGTATGGTTTCCAATTTTTCATTTATTTTGCCTGATTGCCCTTGTAGTATTTACCTGAGTTCTGTATATTTTTTGGTTCCCTCCCCCTTCCCTGTAGGTCTCTCTTTTTTCCATCCGTTGAATGTACTCAAGGTACATTTTTCTGAAATCTTGTTCTGGTAGTTTCGGTGCGTTATCTTTCCCAGGGAAGGCATTTGCCTCTGTATCGTGGTCACTTGTCTGCATCACTCTGTCTTCCTTCTTTGGACGCGCTACCAAGTGTTTGCTGTCTCCTAGACATTGTTGTGTTTCCTAACTTGTGTTTATTTCTTGGCTGGGTGGTCCTGGAGTGAG